GGGGGGGGGGGTGAAGGGCTGGGGCAGGAGCTACACTCTGGATCCTGCCACTGAAGGTGACATCTGGGGAGCAAAGGAGAGAGGTGGGGCTCTTGGATGCGAGGAGAGGGTCAGCCCTGGGAGGAACCCGGAGGCGGGGGGATGGGGGAGGCTGGGTAGAGGGGTGCACAGAGGGGACGACAGGGTGTGGATCCTGTCCAGCCGCCCTTGCTGAGTCCCCCTGTATCTGGTAGTGGAAGCTCACAGAGGCTCCTACATCCTTCTGGTGGAGCCCGAGTAGGCCTTGGCGACACCCTTGCTATCTGGCAGGCCCCGTGCCTGGGCCCTTGCTTGGTCTCCTTTCTCTAGTCTCCTGGTTTCTGTTACAGGAACTGTATATGGAAAGCGGCTGATGAGCTGGGGCTCCTTGCTGCTCCAGGTTTTGGCCACGGACGGAGCTAAAAAGATGTTCCTTTGGGGCCAGTTTGTCCGTGGCTTGATGATTAAAGCTGCTGGAGCCCACATGGCCGACTGTATGGTTTGAGTCCTGGACCTGATGGCTTGATCAACACCCCAGGCATCTGTGCAGGGGTGTCCCCAAATCCCAAAAGGAGGGAAAAATGGAGGAGAAGGGATTGTGGCGTGACCATGGCCCGTGGTGGGTGGGTGCTTTCTTGCTTTCTCTTTTTCCCTCTGGCACGCACACGTGCCCTCCTGGCAAATTTTTAAAAAAGAAGGAAAGAAAGAAAGACATTTCTTTGTAAAGGAAAAATGCAAAGTAGTTCCTACCGGTACTTCCAGTGCCCAACCAGAATTGCCCTTTCTCTTGCGCTGAGAAGCGCAGCGTTCCATGCCGCAGCGTTCCATGCCGGCAGGAGCCGTGGAACGGGAAGGCCCTGCAGCTGTAGCTGCTCAGCTGCCTCCCCTACCGCTCACATGCACCAGTCTGAGAACGGCAAGACCACAGCACCACTGACAGCAGGATTGCTCAAGTTTTTGTTTCTTGAAGCTCCTTTAATTCTGGGATATAACAGGTCATTGGGAAAATCTGACATACGTGTCCATGTTTTTCTATGTAAAAATGCATCATGACGTTTCAGATGACCTGATATTAACGCAGTAGTATGGGAGGTCAGATTACCAGCTTCTTCCAACCCTGGCAGCTGAGAAGCCCGAGCTGCAGAGGGCAGGAGACAGCCATAGCACCCCAGCAGCAGGTCCTGCACCGGGGAGAGTGAAGCAGGGGAGACACCCAGCGATCTGGCTCCCCAAGAACCCTGCCACCATTTAAAACACAACGGAAAGCCCAAGAGAGGCATGCGAGAGACACACGGGCAATTTCTGGGCTAAAATTCACAATTCGTAAACCAAGGTCCATTTATTGGTGGAGCCGAAGGAGAGCCTAATGACTCTGAGTTCTGAATTTGTGTTGGGGAAGGCCCAAGTGGAAGGACATGCTTGAAATGCAGAACAAAAATACCTCCTTGAGGAAATGGGGAGGGAAAAGGGATTTTGAGGATAGATTCAGCCTGCTCCATCTACAAATTAAAAAAAAAAAAAAAAAAAAAAAAAAGGTCTTCATGCCTGCAGGTTAGAAGAGATCACGGAGTTCCAGCCAGGCTGCTCAGGAAGACGCAGTCAGGTACAGTCTATGAAATTCCTGACCTCAAACAGAAAAGCAAAAATCTTACAACCTTCCATAAAGGAAAAAAAAAAGCAAAGCGTGTCGGATTAGCAAGGATGTCGCACTCAGAGCTGAAAGCTGAAGGACTGATGTCTAGGAAGTGCTTGGAGGATCTGACACACATACACACCCAAAGGAATATTCGGAACAAGTGCTGCAACAGCCACGCCCGTGGATGCTTCCCCCAGCACGCTTACTGTACGGTGTGAGCTGAGTTCGGTACCTTTCTCTAACGATAGAGGACTCAGAGTTACTTCCGTCTTCCAGGCACAGAGGGCTTAAGTAACTTGCCCAGATTGGCACAGCTGGCATCGTAGACTGGGAAGTCGAGAGGGATTTGTGTTCTTAATCCACTCTCCTAACCGCCTCTTCAGAGAATTCTGGGGTTACAGAGAAAGACGTTCGCAGATTGGTGAGGACGAAGGGGACACACCAGAAGCTCATCTGTGCAAACAGCCAGAGATGGAGAACAGAGACAGACACGGAGGAAGATGAAGGCAGAGACCTGCCCGCTGGTCCTGATCCTTGTGAGACTGGAGCTGTTAGCGGGTGGGAAAGTGGGACTTAAGTGTGAAATAAGGAGGTAGAAGAGTCCCCAGGGCTGACTTCACAGCCACTGTCTGTGAGAGCTGCTTTCGCCCTCCTTTCAGTGAGGAGGGGCACGGTCGGCAGGAGGGGTTTTCTAGCGAGCTAGCCTGGGCTGGGAAGCAGCGCTCACAGCAAGACGAAGGCATTGGTGGTGGGGGTTTGATTTCTCTCCATAATAGAGATGCAGGAGTTTGATCATGAGGAAAGGTGACCCCTAGTGGACGGAGAAAGCCTAGGACTGCTCAGGGACGCTGACAAGGAGGAAGGAGCGGGCCTGCACAGCAAGGTGAGCGCGCAGCAAGGGTGAGGAAAAGGCGCAAGAGCACACAGGGAGAAAAGCAAATGAGCCTCAGAAGACAGGGAAGGACTCCAATGCAGCCTGCCCAGA